CATAGATCTTATTTTTTCACTCATATCACGAGATTGTAAGAACGATAAAATCTCATCATACCAGTGGCGTCGCTAGGGGAGAGCGGAGGGGCTCGAGCCCCCTAAAAAATTTGAATAGCCCCCTGAAGCAAAATTTTTTTTTTAATGGCTCCTTAATATCTCCTTGAGCTAAAAATAAATTTTTTTAATCGCCATCTGAAGAATTACTATTATAATTCTATTGAGTAATATATAGATTTAATTATTTTAAAAAATTAATAAGACTATTTTAATTTTTATTAAATGAATACTATTTTAATTATTAGATTAGATTATTACATATATATTATACTATGACAGCTTGTAATCAAATTATGTGTTAAAAATATAACAATATCACTCACTAAATATTAATTTAGCTTTAACAGTTGAAGCTTAATTGACTTTTATTATTTATATTATTATATAACCCTAATAAATATCAATTAATAATTTAATATTTTAGCCGAGTTCAAAATAACTAATCAACTATATTATTGATTTTTAAATTTAATTATCATGTCTCTTCCTAAAATTATTTTCAAAGTCCAATCCAAATAAACATAAGAAAGTAGACATATAGTTTATAATCCTCTATTATATATAATTTTTTATAAAATATTAGGTAAAATTCCACTTTTACAGACATATCTGACAGTTATATAATATATTATAGTTAATATTTTTAAAATTTTACTAATAAATTTTTTTGATAATAAATATGAGTATCATTGTTCATCCCACAATAGATGTAATAAATTAGATATATTTTCTTCTCTTTTTTACGTGTTTTTAGGAAAGCTATATTTTTCTTCTTCGAAAAATAGATTTGAGTTAAATCTTTAATACAAATATATTTTTGATATTATTACAAACTACTATTATTTTAAGATATAATATACCAACTAGAGATGGTGCGACAATAATATATAAAATCTTAATTACTTTCATGATATCACTCTGGTTTTTATTTTGCAGTTACAAAATGTTTCATTTCTAATATGGCATCCTTGCCGTGTAAATAACTTAAGGCTTCAATATATTTGCATAATTTCTTCTAAAGGTTTTAATGTTTTTGTTTTATCAATTTATCTAACAGATTAAATTGTGATGAGTTACCATCGTGAGTGTCATGGATAGGCAGCGTCTACATGACAGGATTTTCACTGGATGCACAAACCCCCTTTAAAAACCTTTGCCTACCCCCCTAAAAAATCCCCGCCGCCTTCGGCGGCGATGTCTCTTTATCATTATTTTCACCTATTTATTTATTGATACTCTTTTAAAGAATTTATAAAGTATAACTTAAATTAATCTATCTCTACTACCAACAATCGATATTTTTGAATATAAAGAATTTATTTTTTAGATAATAAATTCAATTAAAACCTCCAATATTTACAATGAATTTATTATTATGGCATTATGAGCTTGCTGAAATATCTAAACCTTTATAATTATATTTAAAAGGATAGTTTATTTGGAAAACAATGTGTATGATTGTTTGCAAATATAGATTTGGTCGATAAATTGTATTATAATAATACTATAATAAAACTATTAATTTTTACAGCAATAAATTTTGTCTTATTTCATCTCAAAATTTAATAAATAATCCCCCAAAAAATTTATCCTACCCCCATTAAAGAAGCTTACCCCATACCCCCTCAAAAAAATAGGATACAAACTGTTCCTACCCCTCCCGCTCATGTAGACGCTGTAGGACTGCAAATTAACCAGTATCTATTATTTGTGTGGCTATGTAATTTAGGATTATTACTACAGCCGCTGAGAGCATATGATCGCATATTTTAGATAAGCAATAAGCCCGTTTATATAAAATTGATAATGGAAGATAATCTTTTAGAAATTTAATATCATACAATAATTTTATCGATTACTTATCTAGCTTCAATCATGTCATATAAGAGGAAGCTCTAACCACCATATATTTTTATGATTTTGATTAGTCGTTTATCTCTTCTTCAAGAATTGTAGATTTGGTAAGGTCTATAAATTTTTTCTTATTAATTCATTCTATAAAACATTGTCTAAAATGGTAATAGGGAGTTATATTAGTTTCATGACCTTTTGTCAATGTAAGTTTCTAAAAATTATATTATATTATGTAGTTTTCAAAAACTATTATCAATTGAGGCATATATGAATTAATTAACCTTTTTTATCATTTATTATTCTTTAGACGCAAAATCATTTTCTATCAACAATCAATATTTTATACTGTAATAAATAGATTTTCTATTTTGTATTATTTTTATATGCTAGTTTATTTTGTATTCAAAATATAATATATGACATTCAGAATAATTATTTAGAGTTAGTAAATTTTAAAAAAGTATAATATATTAATATAAAACCCAGCCGAAGGCCCGCAAATTAGGGGGTATGGGGGGCTAAGCTTCCCATATTTTTTTAGGTTGAGCCCCCTGATATTGTAAAGGCTAGCGACGCCCCTGCATCATACATTATATAAATACTTTGTAGCATCTTATGTTTTGTATTCCATCTTATATCAATATTTTGTTGTAACGTCTTGCTCAGATATTTTATGTTGCCACTTTGTTTGAAATAAGTGGTCAACGATTTTGCAGTGATCAAAATATTATTAATCTCAGTAGTATTTTCCAAAATAAAAGTTGGCTGGAAAGCATTGCGGAGAATTGTGTTCAACATATGTGCTGAACAGTTTAGTCTATTAAATCTAATATTTAAAAAAATAAACGGTAAATATAGTTCTTTAAATATGAATGTTTTTATTTAGGTGTATACAGAACAGAATCCATAAATTATTATAATATCTACCAATTAGATAAATTTTATAAAATTTAACAAAAAATTTACCCTTCCAGCGCTTTTTTAATAATTGCTCCTTGGTCGGTGACAAAGATGAGCTTGAAAAAGTATTCTCGGGGCACACCAAGTTTTAAAAATTTTTTTAATAATTCTTTAAGAATATTTTTTCCCGTCTTTTTTTCCTCTGGAAATTTTGAAATAAAAAGAAATTTTTTTTCTAATTTCCAATTTTGTATATAATGGATTGATAAAGATATATAATCGGTTTTTGTAAAATCCTCGCACCACATATCTGTAGTATATGAGCAAATAGAATTTTTTATCATTTCTCCAATTTTAGGAAATAATATTTCCTTAAGATCCTCAGTAACTTTGGATATGTGCCTGCTAACGGTTGTGGGGCAAGGAATAATTTTTTCGGCTTCCAATTTTCCATATGTGGCCCCTAAGTCTAAAAATCTTTGTAAAATATTTACAAATCCTGGTCCTTGAATAAGATAAAAGAATAATTCAATAAAAATTAAAATACCTAATATCTCTAGCGCAATATTCTACAAAATTGGCGATTAGACCCGATTTTATCGTTTTGTTTAATTGAGAATTGTCTTTTTGAAAATATCCGGATATTTTTTTATTATCTATCAAATCTTCACAATTTGCAGATGAACATTGATGACGAAGGAAGAAGGATGTGCCATTTTTGTTATTATATTTATTGATAGATTCGCAATCATTGCAGCGAATCCAATCTAGCTTTTTGTCATTTTCATCAAAAATGTTTTTAAATTGTTTCCACATTGAAGATTTTATTTTATTATTATCTGAATTTTCTTTTAATTTATATAAATTATTTTTTATTTTTTTAGATATATTTTCTTTATTCATAATAAAATTTTAAAATAAAAATTAAATTAAAATATATTTTTTTATTAAAAATTATGTTATAAAAAATAAAATTTATATTATATATTATATAATAAAATAAAAATGAAAAGGGCAATTATAAAGATAAACAATTATTACTAAAATAAAATAATACAATGCAGATGGCAAACCCAAAAAAAGGAAATTTTAAGAGAAATTTCATTACATTCCCATAAAAGGAAATTTTTAATAGACAAAAATGTTTATTTATTCTAAGAAGTTTTATTGTTGTGTTTATTACATAATATAGTTAGGTAAATGTTCTCCACTTAAAAAAAACGATTGGTACAATAAAAAAAGAAATATTGTTAATATAGTTCATTTAAATAATTTTTTTTTAGTTTGTTTTTGAACAAAAATTTTAAATTTCCTCAACCCGCCCGCCCATTGTTCAAATTTCTTAACCCGCCCGCTCAGCCTGCCTATAGTTTCAATTTTTTTAACCCGCCCGCCCAGCCCGCCCATAGTTTCAAATTTTTTATACCCGCTCGCCTGCCCATTTTTGATAAATTTTTCTTTAACCCGCCCGCCCAGCCCGCCCATAGTTTCAAATTTTTTATACCCGCTCGCCTGCCCATTTTTGATAAATTTTTCTCTCTTCTCTTCTCTCTCTTCTCTTCTCTTCTCTTCTCTTCTCTTCTCTTCTCTTCTCTTCTCTTCTTCTTCTCTTCTCTTCTCTTCTCTTCTCTTCTCTCTTCTCTTCTCTTCTCTTCTCTTCTCTTCTTCTCTTCTCTTCTCTTCTCTTCTCTTCTCTTCTCTTCTCTCTTCTCTTCTCTTCTCTTCTCTTCTCTTCTCTTCTCTTCTCTTCTCTTCTCTTCCTTCTTCTCTCTCTTCTTCTTCTTCTTCTTCTTCTTCTTCTTCTTCTTCTCTTCTCTTCTTCTTCTTCTTCTTCTCTTCTTCTTCTCTTCTCTTCTCTTCTCTTCTTCTTCTTCTTCTTCTCTCTCTTCTCTTCTCTTCTTCTTCTCTTCTCTTCTCTTCTCTTCTCTTCTTTCTCTTCTCTTCTCTTCTTCTCTTCTCTTCTCTCTCTTCTCCGCCCATCCGCCCGCCCACCTAGTAGTGTGGGCGTGAACGGGCGGGCCGAAACTCCGCCCAATGCAGACCTCTAAGGTGACCATTTCCCTAAATTATAAGCATTTGCTATGTCAATATATGCCCTGTCTAATCGATGTCACACGTGACCTGACAATATGTTCGTGAAAATAAATATATTTCAAGAAAATAATATTTTAATGATTAATAAAAAATACCACAATTGCTTATTATGTACAAAAAAGAATGAGCAATTTTATTGTGAATTATGCATAAAGCGAGGTAATTTTAATTACTCCAATAATTGTTCAAGCTTAAGGTAAAATAGTAGAATATATAAATTTATAATAAATAAATAAAGTTATTATGATCTTTTAGAAAAGTTATATACAAAAAAAGAACAATTGGTTAAATTAAAAGAAAAGTTGAAATTATTTTGTTTATTTATAAATAATTTACTTTAAGGGCCTCTGAAATAATTCAAAAATGTTATATTGTTTCAGTATGTGAAAATTATTGCTTAAATTTATAACTTAATATTTTAAGGAACATTTTTCAAGTTTGTTGGACCCCCCAAAATATAATATATTATATCAAGATTATAACAAAGAAGGTATGAAAACATAATTACACTATAGTTTAATTATATTATAGTTGAGTCTCATATCAATGCCTTGAAATATCAAATAGCTGAAAGGACAAAAATATATAATGGCAAAAAAACTATTCTCGATAGAGAGAAACAACTTTTAACAACTCTTTATATATTGAAAGATGAATATACTAATGGCTTGTACAATAAATTGAAGTGTCTTGATAAAATACGTAGTCATTTCATATCAAAAATGTTTAAAACAATATTCTTGATTACTGCTCATTCTAGTCTAAATCTCAAAATGTAATTTTTGATTTTATTAATTTATATTTTTCAATGATATATCTCATTTTTTCTTTACTATTTTTTACAGTGAACACCAACTCCTATCGGGATCTCATTTACCACAGATATATAAAATTCTTAATATAACATATGACCCAACATACAACTACAATATTACTGGTAAATTACTTAAAATGTATTTAAAAAACTTGCATACTCAGCTGTTTCCTTCAAATCATGCTTTCCTTTCTGACTAACCTCTATTTTACTCTAATGTGGTTTATTTTTTTATTATGTTCTATGAAATATTTTTTTGATATATATTTGAAAGTCCAACTCGGCTGTTATATTTTTGCCAGGGCCTAATTCCAATTAATTATGATTATTTGAAACAAATATTTAAATAAATTATAAAAATATTGTAATAGATCATGGGGCCAATCACCATCAATCATAAAACAATGACAATATTTTAAAGTTATAGAAGCAAACTATTAAAATTTTGTCAACCCCAAGTTCGGTTTCTAGTGAAAGGTTATTTTCTATAACCATAGAGGAAAGTTGAGCACAATTGAAATGAAAAGCATGACATTCTTTGTGTTATTAATATGAAATTAGAGAAATGAAAACTATGATAGAATAAATTCAAAAAAGCGTAAAATTATAGCGATAAAGTTTTGAAAAATTTAAAAATGCCCTGAATTTTGGGGCTTGACGGGAGTGATCAAATTATTGTCTCATGAGCAGTTGGGTCAAATTTTTTTTAGTAGTAAGCATGAAAGGACATGAATATTTTTTATTGCTACACCATGAATAAAAAATTAGACCTGCACCCACCTCTACTCCGTACATTATTTCATCCATAATCCATATCATATCATATTTATATTTAAATAAACTGGAGAAACCACAAAGAATGTAAAAACATCAAAACCGAGTCCATTTGTTTCTTTTTTATTTTGAAAAGAATTCATATTTATTGAAACAAAATATAAAACATTATATATAAATAAGGCTTTTATTCTAGAGGTGGGTGCAGGCCTAATTTTTTATTCACGGCCTGTCCTCTCACGATGATAACATAAGGAATTCACGCCCTTTCATGCTTACCACAAAAACAAATATGACCCGACCCGCCTGCCCATGAAACACAATATTTTGATCACGCCCAAAAATTCATGGTGTTTTTAAATTTTTCAATACTTTATTGCTAGTGAAGGTCACGGTCTGGACTGGACCGATACCTTTGGACTGGGCCACGGTCCTTAAGAAAAAGATCGATCTAGACTGTGGTCCTAAATAAAAAAACATATTTTTTTTAACCTAATTTGATTTGTTTTATCATTTTATTAAATATAAGAGTATTATATAAACAATAAAATTTATCCAATGGTATTGAAGAAAATGATTTTGTGCTTGTGGAGGGCATATTAAAATTAAGAGTAGATTGTATTTTTTGAGATATTTTCATCATTAGAAGTATATATTTTATGTTTTATCAGATGTCTGCTTAAGGTACCTAATTATTTTATTAAGAATATGGTTAAGTAATTTTTACAATAAATTATACAGACAGTTTCTTTAAAAAAAATATTACTATATAATAACCAAAATATTTTAATAATATTACTGCTTATTTTGATTAATTTATTGCTTAAAAAATTATAAACAATTATTTTGTTACTAGTTGCTGACGATACATTAAGTTTGGTACTGCAGTGAACACATACTCTATCTTTTTTATTGGGACTATAAGTAAAATGTTTCTTGGACAAACTTATGGTTTTTATATTGTAAAATAAAAATTAACAAAATCTAAAATAACTCTAGAAAAATATCATAAAATAAAATATACAAAAAAATTATATTAATTGAATAGTAAAACAAACTTAAACAATAATAAAAGACCGGTCCGGACCACGGTCCTCAAAAAAAGATCGGTCCGGTCCGATCCCGGTCTAAGACCGATAGGACCGTTGACCTTCACTATTTATTGCTATATTTTTACGCTTTATTGAATTTTATCATAGTTTTATTTCTCTAATTCCATATTAATAACAGAAAATAATTACAATTTATAAATCTAAATTTTATTTAGAAAAGAAGAATGCTCATGTTTTTTTATTTAAATTGTCTTCGCTTTTCCTCTACTGATCCATTGGCTAAAGAAAATAATCACTAGAAGCCGAATGCCAAGACGGACAAAATTTTATTAGCTAGTTTTCTCAAAAATGGGACTGAATTTTCTTGCTTCCAAAATATAAAAATATTGTCATTGTTTTATGAGCGATGAATCTTTTAAGCTCATCCTCACAACTTTCATTGGTAGATGTTGAAGCTTCATCAGAATCATCTAGAAATTCTCTAAATGTTTCATTTAGAATATACGATCTTTTATGTGTTTAGGATGAATTAGAGAAGTTGTAAATGATAGTTGGCATTGACTTATGCATATGATCTGATTTCATATCATTTCGCATTTTTTAGGTTGTTCTATATATACCTTCCTTTTCTTCGTGTATTAAATATTTAAGACTTGAAATTTGGATCTAGAATTAGGCCTACCTTGTGTATGGCCGCATAATAAATCTTTCCTTTAAAAAATTTTTCTATTTTTTAGGGTTTTTAATAATTATTGTATCACACCTTTAGAAGGCTGTCAAAATTTTACTAATTTTTGTTTCCATAGATAAACTTCATTTATTGTGGGACTAGAATCTGGGCTCAGATTATTCGAGCAGTATTGATAAATGAAAAGACATATTTAAATTAAATTTATTTATTACCAAATTCCCATAGCTGAACGAGAGTTGAGAGATTTATTATTTTTCATTCAATTCAAATTTTATAAGACAGAAAAAAATGTCGTTTCTAAAATGCTGAAATTTTTTGTTTTCAATTATTCATTTTTCAAAAAGAACTTAATCAAATTAGAAAATATATATTTATAATTATAAAATTGCAAATTTATATTTATAAAAAAACAATTTTAAAAATTGAAATTTCCGAGATTCACGGGGTATTTTGGGAAGACTTGTCACGCCTAATAATTTAAAATTTATTCATACTCACGCTGTGACCCATCGTGTCACGCATCACGGCCCGCGCCCATCTCTCCTTATTCATAAAATATAACATTGTAATATCATTCTTAGCTCCGGTGGAACACATTTTTAGCATAAATTCAGAGTTAATTACAAACATTGCTAATCGGATAAAAATTATGGAAAATATTATTTTATTGTATATTTTTGCACATTATCTATTAAATAATTCAATCCAACGGTTAACGTTATAAAATAATATATTTTAAAAATAGTTTGGATTCAATAAAATACCAAGATTTGAGCTCTCAGACTCGATTTTATAAGGCTGAAAGAAATCATTTCATTACCCTATATCAAAATATCTGGTTTAGACTGGTCAGCGTACTATATTTCCCTCTATGTAGTATTCGTATACCACTAAAATTATATTTCATTATATAATCTTTTAAGATAAAACCGACGAGGATATAGGTTTTACTCATATTACTCCTACACTTCTGACATCACGTAGTGATAGACATAGACGTTATACAGCTGACGCATGCCCATCTGACAGCGCTACTTCAAATAAAAATGGTGACAATTTAATTAAAACCGCCAAAATCCGCCTCTCCCGTCCTATCTGGCAAGATGTATTTTTTTGTAAATTTTATAAAAAGATATATTTTCCACATACCCATTGTTGAATTGTTTAACGATTTAAATCACTTTTCAGATGTTCTTGGAAAATAATAAAATAAAATGTATTAAACCAATTCCTACTTCACACTACAAATTACAACAAATAAATCGAGAAGATATCGAAATGGCAATGGAAGCAGCTTCCTTGATTATATTTCCGAATACTGGGCCATTAAATCCAATTAACAAAGGTTAGTGAGTATGACTAAATACTGTATTGTTAAATTGCATTGCTAAAAAACAATTCATATTAAATCAAAATTTTATTATATAATCTTTTTATAAAAATAATTTTTAGAAACATTTCTTAAAATATACTTAATTCAATTTTATATTAAATAAAAAATTAAGATTAAATATCAAATTATATTTAATTCTATTTTTCTTTAATATTTAATGGAAAATAAATATATTTGCTACCTTATCACAACTCAAATTTCATTTTTCAATTATAAAATTAACTAATATATCCAAAAGAGGGCGTTAAAACCTTAGCACTTTTTTTGTATTTGGGTATAGATATATGTGGATAACCTCAAAATTAAATAAAAATGATAGGTTTCTTTGACATTTAATTTATGCGTAGGTCTAGAATCGATAAATAACGGCAAACTTGTAAGGCACATATTGCTGGCGTTATTGATTGAAATCTCTTCATTTTTGTTTCCAATGCTTATATTTACGTGTAGAACATTATCCTTAAAAATATTTTAAAAATATTATGATTTGATCGATTGCCAAACTCAAAACTGACCGCTTACTAAATATTCGTTGGACCAAATTTGCTAGTAACATTGAAAAATGTTTTTTTTATATTTTTATTCCTATAAATACATGTAAAAAATTATTCCTAAAATTATTTTGAAAATATCGGGATTTGAGACCGATACCCGACTCGTAACCGACCCAATGACTCAATACGACATTGCTTGCGTTACCCATGGAAATTTTTTTAATAGGTGTTAAGTATTATTCCAAAAAATTTTATAAAAATATTTTGATTTGGCCGATTGCCGAACTCAAGACCGACACTTACTAAATATTTGATTAACAAATTTTTATTATTTGACTGGTAACCTGTTGGTTATTAGGCGGGTATCAGTCGAATTAAAATATTTTTATAAAATTTTCTGGAATAATGTTTAACACGTAAATATACACTTATAGAGCAAAAATGATCATTTTTCCATGGATAACACCAGCAATGCAGTATTTAGTCATTGGGTCGGTTATCGGTCATATCACGTTTTTAAAATATTTTTGGAATAATATTTTACATTTCTTTTTATTTTCCAAATATTTACAAATGATACACCCTAAATTTTTTCTCCGATGAAGATTGGAAGACTGTAAAAAATGGTGGCCTCATTAAAGCCGTTAAAGGAAGAAGCTTAATGTTCCAAAAAAGCATTTTTCAGGTGACTTTATAGGTCAATTGACCAAATGTAAAATAAGGCTTCAAAAAATTGATTCCCTATCATCACAAGACTCGATTTCAGCTCTTAACAAAAGGGGAAAAAATTAATTACTTTTTTCTGTCTTATATTAAGACCCTACGTTTAAATCTCTTTTGAACTAAGAGAAAAAAATTAGCTATGAAACATTTTATTGTCATGGAAACATTTAAAATTTTAAAGATGAAGAATTAAATATAATAAGCAATTCGGATAAATCTTCAGAAGGACAAGAAAAAGAAAAACTTACAAAAAGGATGATATTCTCAGAGTTGTTAAACGGTACTTTTAAAAGTAGCGCGCTACCGCTATTTGTTAAAAAAAGTAGCGCGCTACCGCTATCGCTATTTGTTAGAAAAAGTAGCGCGCTACCGCTATCGCTATTTGTTAGAAAAAGTAGCGCGCTACCGCTATCGTTATTTGTCAAAAAAAGTAGCTTTAGCTACTTTTTTAAAAATATTTACAAACAAATTTTTTATTTTTTGCCTATAATGTTATTGTATAGTAAATATATAAAAATCAACATTTATAAATATATAAAAATCAACATTTATAAATATTAAAATATAGTTAGTTTTGATTATAAAAAAATTTATGTAGTAAAAATAAATATTTATGGTAATTTGTTGCATTTTAATAATAAAATCATTTCAGTATTATCATCCCCAAGCTAGAGCGACGATCAGAAAGTATAAGTTTTGCCTTACTAAATAATTTCTCGACACTAGCACTTTAGGGTAAGGGCGTATTTAATCTTATATACATTTTTTAATATAAGATAGATTATCAATAATTTTATTTGCAAGTACATCGTATGTCTGGCATCCTATTATCATTTTGAGGGCTAATGCCACAGATCTTCTTTTTAAAGTCATAGGGTCTAGCCAATGGCCTGTGATTCCCAAATAAGCTCAAAATTATTTAATCAGATCAATTTATAAATATAAATAAGTTTTTACCTTCTATTATGTGTCCAACTATCTTCCGTGGTACATATATATGATATCTCTGATAACTCTACTATTAGAGCATCTTTCATCATTTTAAAGTTATCTGCTATTTTATTCATTAGTGTCTGGCGGCATAAAATTGTTGTACCAGGGGATAGAGTTTTAATCATCATGGTAAATGGTGGATTATCAACTAAGGACATTGGCTGAACTGTATAAATTATAAAATCAACAATAACTTTATCAGCCAATTTCTGAGAAATATTGTCATTTGCATATTAATATGGTGAATTGAATTAGTCTTTTTGGATAGTCGCTTATACCAAAATTATTTAGATGTTTCTCCATTTCCTTAAAACTCATGAACAGTCTTATAAAATAAATATTATTAGAATGTAAAAATGATAATTTACCTTTAGGTGTTTCTTGAGGTTATAGCTACTGGATTAATTTGAGGAAATATTTTTTTTTACATTTTAAACAAATAAATTTGAAACCAGTTTTGTTTATATATTTATTTTAAAAAATTTTCAAATCTAGGGAATGGGAAATTTGTATTATAGCTATTAAGAACATTTTCTTCACTGGTATCTTCCATTTCATTAATATCATTGTCTGAATCACTTTCAACGATTTGGATATCCATAGGCAATCACATTTTAAATTATTAACACGTGATTTAGGTTTATAATACAAATGAAAATATAAATTACAAATTGAAATTATATTTCAATTTCAAAATTAAATAATAAATCATAAAAATTATAATTAATTATGATATTATATTTAAATTTTCATGTTTATACTTACCTTCATTATATTTTTTAAAAGTAGCGAAGTAGCGGCTACTTACAAAAAAAATAGCGCGCTAAAAAATTAAATAATTACAAAAAAAGTAACCGCTATTAGCTATAGCTACCAAAAAAGTTAGCGCGCTACTTTAACAACTCTGGATATTCTATCAACTATAAAAAAGTTTAGAGCGTCGTCTAGATAATCATAAAATTTGCTTGAATATTAGGAATCCAATAAAGTAAAAAATTCGATCCTCTATGAATTGGCCCAAATCGTATTAGCTCCATATAGTCAGGTAAGTCTTGAACATATTTTTTCGATGCTTAAATTTATACTAACACGACAAGAATCAATATAAATGATTATCTTTTAAAAAAATATATTATTGCTTCGATGTAATAATTGATTGATTTAATAATTTAATAAAGATGTATTAAAATGGATATTTTTTTTAAAACCGTTTCAGAACATTCCAAAAGGTGGTACCGAACTGGAATGGAACAATTTTTTGACTAGAACGGAACGGGAACACATAAATGCCCTTGTTCCGGGTCCCTATTTATATTATTAAATGCGATATATGTTTATACCTTATTTTATTATTTTGGAATATTACTATCTTTATTATAATATTTTGATTTACAAATTTTTGTAAGTTCCAATAAATTTTATTTTCATATAATATATTTCATAATTATCAATCTTGTTGCAAAAAAAATGATAATTGAATGGCGATCTTTTTTAATTATTTTAATAATGATTCCCATTGTTCCACTTTATTTATTTCTTTTCCATAAAGTAAATAAAATACACGGCCAATGACAGGTTCATATATATATTACAAAATTAATATATTTTTAAAAACATTAATTACACAAATATATCTTTTTAAATAAATATTAATTACGACACCTTTATCAGATTTTAGATAAGGGAAATTCCTGTTGATGAAATATAAGTAACAGACGTGCGAATTTTTAGTTATAAATTTTATTGAATTACGAGAAGATCATTAACCACTACTAGTATTTCTTTTACAAATCGAATGTCTTATTTATTCAACTATTCACGAATATTAATTTTGATTATTATATTCGTATTTAAATATTATTCATATTAGCGAATATTGTTTGATTGATTTGAAAGCTTTTATTTTTCTTTATTACCATTAAAAAGAAATGTGCTTGGTATATTAGATTACTATTAGAATAAACATAATATACTCGAGTTATTTATTGTTTATTCGAATATACAAACATCAATTTTACAAAAATTAATGCACATAAAGTTAACAAAAAATAAATTTCAGCCAAGTTATAATATAATAAATATTAAACATATCATGAAGCATAAAAAATAAATCGTATATTTTGTTTGTCACTAAAGAAAAAGCAACACTAATAATTAAAATGTTTTATTTACAATTTAGTCTTGTAAATTATTTAGATAAAATAGCTAGTCGATCATTCCTAAAAAAGTTAAGACAAAATAAATTTCACAAAATTATATGGCGGATATTCCAAAAATAGTGAACTATAAACTACAAAATTTTATGTGAAAATATTGACATTTAAGAAAATATTATTAGAATTTCTTTTCTATTCAAATAATATTCGTAAATAATAAAATGTAATTATTCGTTCGAAATATATTAAACCTAATTCGAATATTGTATTCGGAAGGAGCACTGGTATTGTTAAACGGCTCGATTTGAATCGATTTTTATAAACTCGATATTTTACCCAGAGAAATATTATGCAACCCTGAAGATTATGACGAAATTTTGAGGCTCAGGCAATATTTTTTTGGCTAAAATATTGAGTTAGCCATTTCTAAAAATCGTACTAATATTATTTCTCTTCCCCTTATGCTAAATAAAAAAAGGATTTTTAAAAAATATGTCCAAATTGAAGAAAAAAAAACATTTCATCTGAATCTAGAACATTAAGAAGTAATAACTATTTTAAAATTATCTTTTGGTGGTTCTTTTATTTACTGGAGAAGTGACCCAGGAGGATATATTTTAGACTAACTTTATTTCCACCAAAAGTGGAGTTACACAAATAATCAACTGTCTTATTATATCATATATGTATGTCAACAATATGATTTTTTATGTCAAAAAATAACGAGAAGAATCGCCACCACAACCAATAGAGTATAGCACCATTTTTATTCACAACTTATCATGCCTCAGTTACGCTACTCAGGTCTGTCAAGTAGTTAGCCACATTTTGGACGTGTCAATGTCCACTCGATCAACTCATACTAAGGATATACAGTGAGTCATACTATGCATTAAAGATTTGAAAATCATTTCGGATAATCTTTATTTTTATTTCGGGTCTGCCTTTTTGGGGCAAATAACAAATTTTTTTATTTGCTTGAAAAATTAAGCTAGATGCAGATCAAGACTATGCATTGTAATTAATATAGCATACCTTTTTTAAAATATATTTCTAATTTATTTTACACTTAATTTCATATCAATGTTAGTATTGTTTTTAAATAATACATTATTCTTATTTATGATATCTAAGTCAGAGACCTACAGGCCCGGTCCTGGGCCGTATTTTAATTTTTCAAAATATACACAGGCAGGGCCTGAATTTTTTTAAAAAAAATCCGGGCCAGGCCGGGCCGCATATTTTAAAATCAAATATTTGAAATCGCCACGTGCAAATTGTACGTCTGCAGCTCTCTGTTATAAGTATTATTGAAATTAGATAGTGGACATAAAAAATATTTTGATTTCAAATAATTTTGTTTTTAAATTTCAAAATTAATTTTGTCTTGAATTTATGTTTTGGTCTCATTTTTTAATTTTTGAAGTTCATTTTTTTTTTAGTCCGAGCCCTAATTGAAATAATACAAAAAATACATACCAGATTACGTTTTTATATGGGTCATATTTATATTCAATATCATTACATTAATTTTGACCTAATGCTTTAACCTTAAAGAAATTATATATTTCTAAATATCTTTTACATGCCTAATTTGTTAAATGTAGATTATATTTATTTAGCATTCTTAAAGAATAACTTAAGTTAAAGTTATTGTATTTTAGAAATTAATAAAATTGCTTTAGAGGTAAAACATAGGACAAATTTAACGGAATGATTCAATATAATACAAAAAATATTCAAATTTTTTACTCATTATATCATCATATAAACAAAAATTATTATAGCCAACTACTTTTAGATTCTCATATTAATCCAAACAATTTCAACGGTAATGCTCAGCATTTATTGAAACCGGTTATAACTGAAATTATATCCAATATCAAGCATCTAATTAAGCTAGCGACTTCAATTAAGGACGCCGATCAATCCTATACATCGTTGAAAGAGTTGGTTAATTTGCAAAGTATCCAAAATCCTATACACCTTTTGCATGTTTTAAAACTAAGTCTAACGGATAGTGATGAAAATCTGAAACCCGCCAATCATAGCGGAAAGTAGTGTAAAAAATGTTTTATGATAAATAATAATTTAATTTTTTATGTCTAAAATAATCTGTATAGTTTTTGAATTATTAAGCTGTCCAAAATTTGATTTTTAAAAAAATCATAAATTTTGAAAATTTAATTAACTTTTTCACGGAAGATAAAAATATGTACAAAACATAATTCTATAAAATTCTAAAAGTTTTAAAAATTAACATGATTTCATTATAATCTGTAAAAGTAGTCTCAAAAAAATCGTAGTTTTGGACCTATTCTAGCAAGATGTATTTTAATTTGATAAAGCTTTGTTGAATTAGACCAAAGTTTTCATGGCGTATATGCAAAATATGAATCTGCAATATTGGAAATTCCCGATCAAATGATTACCTTCTATGATCAAAAAGAAACGGCAGCTATACACAGTAGTTTTTCGGATAACGATGATTTTGATATAGTTCACCTTAAAGAAGCTAAACAAGGTTTGTAAAACCATTATTAAATACAAATATCATTTTTTTAAAATTTTCTACATTTTACGAGAATTTTATTTTTACTTTTAAATTATAATTAAAAAATTTGTTATAAAATATACTAGGTTTTGAAAATTGTATATCACTATCTAGTATTTGGTCTAAAAATACTTCTTCAGCTCACCTTAATAAAGGATATAATACCAAGCCTTATTTCGGAATGGATAACCCCATAAAATCATTTAGTTCTTGGTGGAAATAATTTCCCAATTTTTTGTTGATTTGATAGTTGGATTATAATAATGTAAATGTAATATTGTAATTTATTTTAAAATTCTATATTTATTTACGGGTTTTATATATTTTTTGGAGAAAATAATATATATTTTTGATGTATTTAATATTTTTAATATAAAGATTATTATTATTCATATTTTGTAGTGTAAGCAACATTATTTTAATTTAGAATAATGGGAAATCAATTAGCATTGTAAAAATTATCAATAATCTGTAAAATAAATTTACACAAATTTAACATTTCTGGATTGAAAGAAAAAATTGAGTTAATTACAACACACTTGATACCTGATATTCATTTTAATAATTAATCTAATCTTTACTAAAATCGTCTTCGAACCGGGGTTCAAATGGCTTCACTGACACGTAGGGATTGTCGTAATAATATTTTTCCCCATTCACCTCGATCACTCTCCCTCGATTCCACTCAATTTCGCAGCTCGGCTTTTCTTCGTCATTTAGATTTTCGAATGAGTTATATGTTAGGGCTGGTACAAGTTTCGGAGCCCTAAAAACGGATTTTCGCCTGAAAAGGAAGCGGTATTTAAAAATCGGCAGTTGATTTTGGGGCGATCTTTTCCTTTTTCGTTCATCCTTTTTTTCGAATGTTAATTTTCCGAATAAATTAGTAATCTTTTTTAAAAAGCCTCCTGGTTTATTTGATTTTGTTCTTTTTGCCTTTCTCCACGTTAAAGGATTGTTATCGATGCTGTTCGAAGAAAAATTACTACTTGCAACATGTATATGAGTGATAAAGATTAAAGGATGATTCATTTTATTTAAATTAGTTACTAACAAATTTATGTTATTTATGAGTCTAATGGCATAAAAAAAATTAGAAAAAATAATATAAATTTTTAAAAAATAGAACCTAACTAAATTATGCTTTTAAAAATTATTTAGAAATATAAATTTATACATGGCGCATTTATGTATTAGGAAAGTAACAACATAATAATAATTCTTTTTTTTTACTAAAATTGAAAGTATTCATACTTTGCTCTTAATTTATGGTAAATTTTTCTTATTAATTGATGGCTAAAGTTAAAAAAATTTTTTTTAAACTATTTGGTTATTTAAGAGAAGATATCACCAATTGATCCTCAGGATAATATTTCCATGTTATGCAATTATAAATCTTTCTATAAAATCTTATTTTATAATTTTTTTTAAAACGATTAGAAAATTTATTTCCCTTTTTCCACTTTATCCAAAAAATATATAATACTATAATTATTTTTGCAGTAAATGGGCAGTATTTTTATTATCAACAAATTAATCTTTTGGGCAATATTTATAAATTTATGGGCAGGAAATTTATTATAATGGGCAGTATTCTTTTATCAAAAAAATTAACAATTTGGGCAGTATTTATATAATATTGAACAGTAAAAAATTGAAGAATTGTAACTAAAATTGTATTGTACAGTATATATTTAAATATCTTTTTATTATTAGCTATCAAGTATATAATATGAATAAAAAAGTTAGTGAATTAAAAAAATTATAAAAAATGTTCTAGAATTGCAGTTTTTATTGAAAATAATTTTTATATCTTAATATTTAATTAAAAATTGCATGTGATTTTACAGAGCCTTTTAGTATATATAATGTCTTTTATTATAAGTAATTAAAAATATTTTATGAAAATTAACATATCTAATGTATAAAAATTTGTAAATTAACAAATATATCAAAAATTAAATCCAATATGGAATTGCAGATTATTATTGCATATTGTGTCATTTGAACAAATCTAAATAATTATTAAAACTTGTTATTGTACAACAAGAGCCCTTTTAGCTATTGAAGTGTCCTTGACTGCTGGAGGAGGTTTATAGTAGTTTAATCTTATACCCAAACCAACAACATGTTTACTAGTGTTGTTAATGTAAAGTTATATTTTTTGAAATGACTAGTTACTTCTAAATAAATATATGATTATAATTAATTATATTTTTAATATGATAATTTTTTTTAAAAATAAAATTACTTTTATTTATTTTTATAAAATGAAAAATATAAAATTAATATAATTAGTAAATGATTGCGAAAAAAAAATATAATACCAAAGGACAATATTGAGGCATAGATCATAAAATAATGTAAAATACAAAATAAATAAAAGCGAAAGCAGCAAAATTACTCAAAACCTCCTTCAACTAATCATCAGGAGAGATCGAAACAAACATAATAAGCCTTAAGAATGGCTATAGCGATCCTCTGCCTTAAGTAAAAACCTTCGTGAGGCTCCCCGGAATTTTTTCTGATTAGGCTGCCAACGTCTTTAAAAAAGTTTTTAGCTAAATCACCATATGTAATTAAGGTGGAGCAAATGATGGGTATGAATATGTAATTTGAGGAATCAGCACTGTATTTTCCAATCTTAAAATTTTGAGCTCTGTTCAGAGCGTCCTTGTTAAAATTAGAGGGGGAGTTAGTGTCCAGACAAGAGAAATCCCATATTAGAAACTTTCCTTGAGACCATGAGATACTTGTGACCCCATCAGAATTTTTATTCTGTATGCGGGCCTTTTTTATATAGTTAATATTGATAATTAATCTGACTAATGAATAAGAACAGTTTTGTTAAAAGCTACTTTTAAGATTAGCGCGTTAACGCTAACATTTTCAAAATAGTAGCGCTCTATTAGCTATGCTACTTTTTACGCCAATTTAGAATTTTTTTTTAAAAATATTTTTTACATATCTCTATTTCCTCTTATGAAAAATATCACTAAAATTTCAAATATATACAATTAATTTATTTTCTATTACTTCTCTATAATAATTTTTCCATACTATCATCCCTAAGTCTAGAGCGACGATCAGAAAGTATAAGCTATAACTAAATAATTGTTCAACATTAGCATGCAATACAGTATTAAATTTAATATGATACTTTTTATATAAAAAAATCATCAAAAATATTCATTTGAGCATTTTTAGATTTAAAAAAAGGCGTCAAATGATTTACAATAGGAATATAATTTTAAAAAAATCATCTATTGTGTGTGGCATTTTTTGATCTGGCTAGGGTTAGTCTAAAATTGTAAAAGTTAGAATAAAAATTATGTAGGGTATAAGTGTATGCCCATGTTTGCCAACTTTCCTTGCCACTATCCTTTAAGTTTTTATCTATTAAAATGTGAAAGGATTGAAATAACTATTTTTTTAGGTTTATATAATATCATTTTAAGCTAAGCATTGATATTAAATTTGTTTTATATATTGCTCTTACATATTTTCTCGTTAAAGCTACTAGTCTTTTTTGAATAAATTCCGCCACATCTTACAATGAAATTTATCGCGATTAAAATATTTTGTAAATTCAGGAAAAGGAAATTCCATATTTCATTATTTTCCTGGGAAATTACTTTGTCGATATGATCTGTAAACAAAATTATCTTTAATTCAATCCCTATCGTCGACAATTTAAATTATTAGGAAAGTTAGATTTATAATGGAGATATTTAAATATAAATTTGAAAATTATATTTAATAAAAAGATTATGATTTTAATTAATTGTAAAGCTACTTTCTAAATTAGTATCAAGCTACCGCTATGTCTATCAAAGACCTGAAGGCCCGATCATGGGTCGGGCCGTATTTTAATTTTTTTTTAAATACCAGGGCCGGGCCGTATATTAAAACCAAATATTTGAAATCTTCATTATTAGCTTAAAAATCAAACATAAATATTATATATTTTAAACAAGCCGGGCCGAAATATTTCTTTAAAAAAATGCCAGGTCAGGCCGGACCGAAATTTTTTTTAGAAAAATCCCGTGCAAATTATACCTTTGCAAGTCTCTGATGTCTATTTTGATTATTTTCATATAACTTGTTTTACATAATTGCACTAAATTTTAATTAGATATACATGTATAACAAAATCTTTGTTTAGTTAAATATTATATAAATTCATTAATTAAATTAAACCAATCTAATAATTAAAATGACTTTGACAGCCTTCGCCTGATAATGTTTTTGTCATAGATTAAACTTTGTAGCAATGCAAGATGCCAACAAGATCTTTTTTTTAGTTATCGTTATAAGAAGGCATATAACATTGGCATATCATGAGGTTAACATTTGTGGAATTTATAAAATAAATCGGAAGCCAGCATCTAAACTAATTAAAAAGGGATTTTATAAAGTTTGTTCAGTCTAGGAAAGCTTATTTTTTAACAAAACCGAGCATGTCCTTTAGACAAAAATTTTGAAAATAGTTTATGTTAAACTTAAATGTAAATAAAAATGTATTAAGCCCGATTTTTGAATAAAAAATTATCAGTCCTAATATTTATGATATCCTGATATTATATTTCGGTATAAATATATTCTATTCTCCGGTTTTTTTTTCAGCGTAATTATATTTTTATATAATAAATTGAATATTTTATTTTGATTAAGATTTGTAAATCGTAATTATTTTTATATTAAATAAAAAAAATGATGCCTTATATAAATGATTTATATAGTAAGTTGTAATATAACTATTTACTTTCGAAATATAACTAGTAACTAGGTATATCTAAATAATGTAACTTAAATTTTAAAAGTAACTTTTAACTATACTAGTGTTTACATATAAATAATTAAATATTGGGCAATAACAAATTCCTATTATATTTGTTGAGAGGTAGTCATACAACCCAAATGCTTGATGCTTATATTGATTATAAGAACTTCATTCTAAATTTTTCACAAAATTTATTTCATCGTGATTAATTACTTGCAATTTATCAGCAGTGATATAGTACTCAATATAATCATCCATTTTAATTGATGGAATTTTTTTTTAAATTTTGCCCAGTTATAGCATATGTTCATTTTTCTAAAGTTATTGGTGGATATGTCATAAACTCTTTTGAGAAGTGGTATAGGCTAAAGACCATTTTTCAACCATCTCCATAGCAACAATTAAAACGATATAAAGGTAAGCGTAATCTAAGAGAATTTTCATCTATAATTACTCGATTGCTTGCTTCTAATGCATTGTTGGTGCTATAAAGTGTTTAAAACTATCATACCATGTGTAATTTGAATTTATCCATTTCA